TAGTAACCAAAAAGAGGCCTTTTTTAATCCCTTTTTAATACCTCTACTTAAAAATTTCCATCATTTAATGTGTTATACATGCAAAAAATAATGAAGGGACTAAAAAGGAATCGAATTTTAAACTTTAAGGATCATAAAGGGACTTTTTTAAGTAGAGCTAAAAAGGATTTTTTCTTGTTAAATTAGAGAGACCAAATGAGATTTTAACCTTCTTTCTAATATAACATTGATGAATGTAATGACCCTTTTCCCCTTTTTTATTTTTTTATTTTTTTGGAGAAAATGAATGGTTTTTTTTTTTTTACTAACCTTCAATATTTTGAAGTCACATTAGATTTTGATTAATTTGAAATTGAATCGAGTTAAATCTCATAAAGAGAAAAACTCTTTAAATACTTATATTTTCATTTATAAAACTCAAACTCAGTATTTTATTTAAAAGGAATTAAATTATTTTCATTCAAACCAATAAATTATTGATAGAAAATGAGTGTTAACGATGCTTTTCGAGTGATAATGATACGTGAACCTTTTTTTTTTTTTTTATGTGAACAATGATGCACATAGTCACGATATAAAGCTAAGATAGGATGCCCTTGATGGATCAAAACCTAATCCATTCTCGTATGACGCCAACGTTGTTAGCCTGAGATCTTCCCTTTCACAAGATCAAATATAGGTAGCTTTTAAGATCTTCAATTTTCTCTTTCAATTCTTCTACAATCTTTTCAAGCACTTTAATCAGCGTTTGTTTTCCATTTCTAAATGCAATCCTAAGGTCATTCATATCACTTTATAGGCCGGAGCTAATATGCATCTCATCCTCAAATGACTTCTCCAGTTCATCTTGTAATTAAATAATTATTAATCAATAAGAGTCAGGGTTTCTTTTCCTGAAAGATGCATTATTGGCATTAATTTTTTCTAGGTTGGATGCATAAATCATCGGTCCTTTTTTTTACTATTTCTAATATATATTGTTTACTGTGTAGATAATAATAGCTTAATCCCTTATTATTTACTAGTGATTGTTTTTTTAAGAATTGATCCTCTTTATTCCTTTCAGGGTTTTAATATAGCTAGTTAAAAATATATAAATAAGAATATTAATTTTATTTTTATTTAAGAATATTAATTTTTTTAATTTTTAAATAAAACTATTAACTTTTAAATTTTTTATTTAAAATTTCACATTTTAACTTTCTTTATTTAAGAATATCAACCTCCACTTTTTTTTATTTAAAGATTTCAACTTTTAACATTTTCTATTTAAAAATTAATTGGATAATAATACTAACATGACAAACAAATTTTTTAACCAAAATGATAATGCTAACATGATAAATAAAATTTTTAATCGAAATATTGAAATTTGATATCCTTAAATGAAAAAAATCAAAAATCGATATTTTTTAAACAAAATTGATAAAATTAATATATTTAAATAAAAAAAGTACAAAGTTAATATTTGTATTTACATCTTTTCTTGAAATATTTATTTTAGGATTATGTTTCTGATTTTTTTTATGTAAAACTATAAATTAGTGATTCTTTTTTATTTGTGCTTGGAGAGAGATTCAATAAAAATATACAACTACCCTCCGAGGGGATTGGTAAAGCCACCCACAAAGCATTAAGGCCACACAAATTTCTTTTTTTCTTTTTTTCTTTTTTAAACAATCAATTTTAGTATTTGAAAATATCAATATAGGCTATTTTTAATATATTAAATAATAAATATAAATTATTTTATTATTTATCAACTAACAATTATAATTATTAGCTGCATCTAATAATTAAATTAAATTAACTTAATATTTTAAAAGACTATACAATCTTAATAATTTGTTGTGTGGCCATCATCATACTCTTTTAGAAGTTACTTGTACTTATTGGATTGAGTACTAGGAATAGGTTGGCATGTGAGTTCCAAAAGTTTAAATAAAAATTTTCAAGTACCAAAGATGGCTGATAAAAAATCTATAGGTCAAAATGCTCACCCCTAAATTAGGTTAGCTTTCACACATCTCATTAGTCTAATTATAGACACACCCGGCCATACAGGCCGATTGGACAACGGTGCACTCTCCCAGCCCCATGGGCTGAATTCAATCCCCCCATCCCCCAAAAATTGCCCTTGTTCAAAAAAAAAAAAAAATTATAGACAAATCATACACACCATAACTAGAGAATTTATGAATGGAACCCTTCTGGTTCTAATGGTTTCGTCCCAAATCTTAATATTTAGGTAAGATTAATTGGAAATTTGAATCCCACTAACTACTTGAATATTTGCATTTGGCCTACGGGCCATTGGTGCTTCTCTAGCCCATGGGCTGATCCATTTCCCCTTTCCTTCTATGATTGCCCTTGTTCAAAAAATAATAATAATAACTAGAGAATTTATGAATGATTAACTCTTCATTAACCTCTCTAGGAAATAGAAACAGGTCAATAAGATAGATAGCAAACATGCTTTTTCATAGTACCATGCCGCACCATATTGTTCTGAAATGAGCTACAATACATATCCCCATTTCATCAGCCTAACCCATGCCAAAAATCATTTACTTGCTGCTACACAGTTCAAGGAATTGAACTGAAGCTGTATCATTGCCTACTTGCATTTAAACATTTAAATTAAGTAAAGCACCATCATACGTATTGAACCAGTAACACTCCATTTTTGACATCAATATCAAAATCTTCACCAGTTTCTCTGAGCTATCAAAATCACCTACATGCTTATCTTCTACTTGAATGCCAAGCTCTTCAAATAACTAAAACCAATGTGCACCAAAAGAACAAACAAATCAAACAAAAATTTTTAAATGTCAGTCTCTAGCATATTTCTTCTTCATCAGAAGTATCCAAAAGACGAGCCTTATAAGCAATCAACAGATCTGCTGCATCATCCTCAAACCTTGACACAAACTTCTCTAAGAATTCCTCCTCTGTCAAGTCCGCCAAGACATAGAGAAAACTAGGCTTCTTCTTTAACAACTTCTTTGAATTCAAAATCTCTAAGACTCTGTATCGAGGAAACACTCGTTCTTCAAAACTGAACATCAAAATGCCTGGTCTGGCAACCAACACCATCCTGTCAAACTTGATTGTTTCCATGAAGAACTGAATTCCTAGTTTCAATTTCTCCTCAGAGACTCTAATCAAACCAGGGGTCCTTCTAAACATATCCATGCAATCACTCTGTGAAAAACCATAAGTCCCAAGTAGTTCTATTTTTCTCTTAAATGTCATTTCACTCAAGCAGCTAAAAGCATGAATGCCATGAACCAACATCCTTGAATCCGTCGAAAACCCCATATCTAAAACTCTTGAAACAAAGTCCTTAAAGGCAGACGGTTGCATCAGGAAAATCCTAGGCTGCCTAGTTAACAGTTTTGAGAGCTGAGGCCCAGAAATCCCACAACTCTCAAGAAACTGAATGTTGGGCAACAACCGTGATTGAGGATCAATCATAGCAAGTCTACTACTTCTATGTAAAACCTTAATTAAGGCATCATTATCCTCATCATCCACTAAAATTTGCTTGATAAGTTTGATACATGGAATCAATCTTTTATCCAAACTAGAATACAAAACACAAGAATTCTTGGAAAGGAACTTACCCAGATGAGAACCCACGAGACCCAATCCTTGGAAAAACTCGATCTTAGGCTTAAGAATCTTCTCAACATTCAAAAAGAGTATCTTGGGTGCACCCTGGACTGAGGAAGAGATTTGGGAATCAGAAAATCCAACATTTTGGAGGAAGTGGACTACAGATTGTGGCTTTTCAAGGGATTTAACGGAAGAGTATAGATTAGAGATAGCGAGGGCTTTGGTTTTGGGAAGATTTAAGGTTTTGATTAGGTAATGGTGAAGAAAAGGGTTTGAGATTGAAGTAGAAGAAGAAGAATAGAAATGAAAGAGAATTGGCAGTTTGAGTTCTGAGGGAAGATTGGGGAAACAGGAAGGAAAGAGAATGGATTTGAGGGTTTGCATTCTTATTGGTAACATGTATGCACACGATTTCTGTTCGAACGGCCCCCAAAATGAAACCACCGCCAGTCGGACCACCAATAGCCACAAAATGAATCCGGTGGTGATGGTGGTGGTACTTCTCACAATCAAAAGACGAGGTGGGATTAGGGGAGAAAATGGAAACGCGGACTATTGAAGGAGGTTTAAGAGGTTTTCAAAATGGCCCCAAGTCTTTTAAATGTAAATAACAAAATTTATAATAAATTGTTTCTTCTAAAAAAAGAGAAAAGAGAATCAAGACAGGGTTCTTCTTACATTAAAAGTATTAAAATATTTAATAGTAATCATATGATATGGTAGATAAGATATGATGTGAACCATAATTTTACTAAATTTATTACATAATTATTGTTAAATATTTTAATATTTTTAATACTAAAATATCCTAATTTTCTTTTCCTTTTTCCTTCTAAAAATCTTAAGAAATATACAGTTGTTTTGTTTCTACTTTCTTCTAATGAGAAGGGAAAAATCTTAGCCTTCATTTGTAAAACATCTTATTTAAAATGATAAATGTATATTTTTAATTAATTTTTTAATTTTTTATACATTTTTAGTAATTTTAATTAACACTTTTTTCAAAAAAAAAAAAAAAAAAAAAAAAAAAAAAAAACCCCTACCACCACAACAGCATGGTATTGACAAACAACCTATTATTCTACTAAGAAAAAAAAGAACCTTAGTAAGTTGTTAACTTGATCTATTTTGTTCTATTGTAAAACTTAATAAAATTCATAACATGAACAATCTTCAACAATTAACAATTTCCTTTTACCTCTTTGCATAAAAAATTAATTATTTTGCCAAAAATTTACCGACTTTAAAATTTAAATTAAAGTTTTTTAATTAATAAATACTAACCCAACCAAACTCTAATGTTCTTATCAGTCCATGGTAATCATGTAGACAAACGTGCTGAAGGGTAAAAATCTAACAATTGCAAACGCTTTTTGGTTGAAGATTGAAAGCACTGTCAAATAATCAATGGATATCAGTTGTAACTTTACAAGAAAATTTTCAGAAAAATGAAAAATCTGATGAATAGCCTAAATTCATGAGGCTAGATTCAGAAAACCAATTAATGAAGAAAATAAGAAGGAAAAAATGATCAACAACAACTGGGTCAAGGAACGACAAAAATGAATTCCAAGACGCATGTACAAAATCAAACAGATATTGAACAAAGATCGTCTAGGACTTGTCTGATGTTAGGCCTCTCATTTACAGGAAGAATACACCTCAGTGATATGGCTAGTAAGTCATCCATGGCTTTGGTGTGCTCTTCCCCACTTGCAATGTCTCTGTCAACACAGTCCATTCCTCGTCCTTCTTGATTACACAGCTGAACCCAATCTGTGAGGTCTACTGCTCCTGACTGACCTGAGATTATGTCACCAGCACTTCTTCTGGTTAACAATTCCATAAGGATCACTCCAAATGCATACACATCGGCCTTGAGTGACAAGACTGGTTTAGATGCAGTGGCCAGTTCTGGAGCACAATACCCAAGTGCTCCCAAATTCAGTATCTGCTCTGCAATGCCAGCAGATGTCATTAGACGGTGAAGACAATAATCAGTGAGGCAAGGATTGTAATCAGGGCCAGCAAGGACTATATTGGTTGGCTTTAGGTTTCCATGTACGAGGCCTCTATCATGAAGATATAACAGAGCTCGGGCAACTTCCACAGCAACTTTTAGTCTTTGGCTGAATGATAATGGGGAGTATCTCCGAGGTGTAGTCTCTGCATTAAGACATGCATTGGTGAAACAAACACACATAGAGAGAATCTCTTTCTCTCTTTTTTTGTTTTTTGGTGAAAAAGATAAAAGATAACTGAAATACAAGTCCCATGACAGAATCACAAAAGCATGGTAAATGAAGATTGCAAGATCATCAGTACGCATATATGCAATCCAGCTGTGCTGCAATCCATAACTCTTGTGCACACTAAGATAAATCAAAGAGCATCTTGACTCAAAAATGAAAGAAAAATCATTAATACATGGATTATGTAAGTGTAAAAGTCCAAAAACCTGAGAGGAAGAAAGAAGTATGTCAGGGGTGACGAGTTACAATTGATCCTTTGTTCTCTAACTGACCACCTTAACTTATTACTTGGAAGAGAATAATAGCCACTAAAAAGGTGATATTTCCCAATCAAAATGTAAAAATATCATCAAGATTCCCTGCTTAAGGAATATATGTTGAACTAGAACATTAGGGCTCCTCAGATATATAAAGATATGGGACAACACATAAACCAGGACTCTGTTCACACATTATACCAATGCTTACTTAGCAGATGGCTTGTTATGTGACTCAAGCTCATAATTACTCTATACGACTCAAGCTGAGATGCAAAATTTACTTATTTACCTCATCAAGTCAATGATATCATGTTGATTCAAGGTCTTACAAATGATTATTTTCTGAAGATTGTTGTGAATAAATCTACTGA